ACCTTGACCCACTTGGATATTGTAGACTATTTCTGCTCATTTTATTTTTAAATTTATGTATTCTTATATGTGAACACTCAAAGATTCTTCATAATACTTTCTATTATTTTTTTGTTTTGACTAAGTTTCTCATTTTTTATGTTCATAAAATAAATTTAAACAATAAAATAATTATTTCCACAATAAAGTTATAGCAAACATATAAACTCAACATAAACAAATAGAATATTTAACCACGTGCAACGTACCTACATCCTAACTAGTATAGTATATATATGAGGGAGAGATGGGGGAAGCAAAACAAGACTATATTATTGCACTCTGGACTTGCTTACTTACGGTTACAGGGAAGTGCCTATTTACAGGCTTACTCGTTCAACTAATTACAAGAGTTATAAGATAACACTACTCTTAAAGATAAAAGGTTTAACAACTACAAAAGTTAATCCTAAGTGAGTTGACAAAAACTAACTTCTAGAGATAACCACTTTAAAAGATAATAAACTCAAAAAAAAAAAAAAATCAGAATTAGGATTAACTTCAACAAACTTGATTGCAGTTTTTTCATAACAGCCAGCACATAACCATACCCAATTGAAACGCCTCATCTTCCTAGTTTTTCTAACTTAATTGGTCACACCACCATGCTGCCAATGTGAATCCTTCCCTCATATAAGATAGAAAATTGATGATATATGAGATATTCAACACTAGCCGAGCAATTTATTACCGTCCCTCATCGACGCAAGGCATCTTGAACCGGAAGCGTATTAGGACACAAACCCTCCGATCGAGCGAAGTGTTTAACTTCATTTGGGAATCACAATTGCCTTAGTAATTTTCAATCGAGAGTTGAGCTTGAGCTCGTGCCTCCTTGCGATCTTGTACTTCGCGTACCTGCTCCTATAGCGATTATCAAGTGATAGACATTTCGCGCAAAATCAATACAAATAGTTAAAAAATTTTAATATAAGCTAACTACTGAATTAGTCAAACCAATTATAACACTACTGCAATCATCCTTTTCAAATTAATAGTAGGAATATGTGTCATGTTCTTTTTTTCTTCTCTTGAATTTCTATAGAAAATTCTTTAAAGATTTGGTTTGCATTAGGACGCATGTTTGCTATATCCACTCTCAAACAGTAATTTTGGAAGTTGGATTGCCGAAAATGCCCTTTTGATGTTGAGGGTGTTTCTGGAATGGACTTGGCCTGTTTTGGTTTGGGAGAAGGGCAATTTAGTCCTCACACCCCCCCCAAAGTTACTGTTTGGGAGTGTGAATAGTTGGACCCATTAGGACACGACTATACAATTTACAAAGTGTTTCCGGTTAGAGAAAATAGTACAATAAGGGGCTATTTGGTTGTATGTTTTTGCTATGTAAAAGGATGGAAAGTGTAAAAATGTGGGTCCCAATGTCAGCTTTCATCACTTTACATTGTTTGTTCAAATTCTTTTTTACATAAAAAGCTTACATCTTTTGATGAGTTGTCACCGAAAGCAAAATCACCAAAATTAGGAGTGATTTTGTTGGAAAGCTGACACAATGTCATAAATGTGTCCAAAAAAATAATAAAAAAAATCAAAACCTTATAGAAAGTGGTGAGGTGGATAACCACTTTTCATTTTGTGTCATAAATACTCTAGTTTACATTATACTATCCAAACAATGTAATACTATTATTTTAGGATTCACAAAGATTCATAACCAAACAATGTAAACACTCGAATGAAAAATGATGAGGTGGATAACCACTTTCTATTTTGTGTCATAAATACTCTAGTTTCCTAAAGTCATCCAAACAGCCCCTAAACTATAGGGGTCGGAAAAGAAAATCCTATTAAAGGTGGTTTAACGAAAAATCATGAATGCTGGGCACGTGTTTCAAACCCAAATAGTGGCTATAACTAGCCGTCCAAGATTAAGATTTCTACTGGAATTACGTGTTGCATCCGCAGCAGTTTATTAACAAATGTAATATCTGTATTCGCTACATTTTCATATTTTTCTTCTCGTGTAACTTTATGCAGAGAACATATAATGATGGTAGGGTAGGCCCGAACAAACCGTCCGTTAACCGACTCAAGCACAATGCAACATACTCTTTGATGTTCCTTCAAATTTTCGTCACTAGTACCTACGCCTAATGGATAAAATAAAATGAAGGTATTTCTTTTTTTTTTCTCCCCTACCGGCCCATAGCTCCCCAATACGTTCTCTTTGTAGATGTGTTCTCCAAATTTGATTATTTGTGGGTGTGTTTGGCAACTTCACACTAATCCAGTTACGACTTAACCGGATTAGGATTGATCCAAGATGGGGGTGATCGAAAGTTAAGGGCTTCTTAAAAAAAACAAGTCCAATCTTATACAAGTTTTTTGCGAAACGCATTATAAGCTCTTATCCAAGATATAAGGGTCCGTTTGGTTGCTAAAGAGGGCTTGGGAAAGCCTGCCAAAACTGACAGGCTTTCTGCCCATTTCAACTCCTCTTTTCAGCAACCAAACGGGCCCTAAAAGATAGTGGGCAAGGACCCAACGAGCTTTGGTTTTAATCCATCCTTCCCTTTTTCTGCTGGACGGGGGTTTTGCCGCGATGAAGAGGGGGATTTTGCCGGCTATGATACGTTATCGTCGCCAAACCATGGAGGAAAGCAGCGTTGAGTCCTCTCTACCACCGCTCATTTCGAACCTCAACATGAACCCGATTATCCTCATCATCGTCCCTTTCATCTAGACTTTGTTGTCTAGATCTCGTCAAGTCGAACCGTCTACAGATACGTGACCATCCCTACTTCCTTCTTATTAGCGCAATAGTTAGTGCACATGACAACAGTAAAAACGCTTTTATTCCAAATTTTCAAAAAAAAACATTAGTGCACACAATACAGAGTCTTAAAACATACATCACCCGGAGAGATTGAGATCCTCTACTAATGCATAGTGCTTCCTAATATCTCCTAATGCATCTACACCTTTCATTTTGTGCATAAGCACAAAATACGAAAATGTAATATGCAATGAAAGGTGAAGATGCATTAGGAAATATTAGGAAGCACTATGCCTTAGTAGAGGATTCCAATCCCACTCGGAGATGCTTAATTATCACTAAATAAATTATTGGAAGATTATAGTATGTGATAACTATGTTCTATAAAAGATTTATAAAAATTGAGTAGAGCTTTGCTTAACAAAGTTATCTTATTTTTTGAAAGGAAATATACAAATATCATAAAATTTAGGGAAAATTGCTTCAAGGCTTCAAATTTTAATTTTCAATGTACCACGGCCCCCCTACCTTTCAACAATGTGCTGCAACCCCATTTTTTTGAAAAAATTGTGTCCATGCCCCTCCCTCCAATTTCCAATACAAACTCCATCTAAAATCTCGATTTTACTCTCCTCCTCCTTCAGTCCTCCTCTACCGCCTCCCCTGCCTCCCTCCCCAGCTCCGCCGCCGGCGCCACTTCGCGTTGGCGGCGACGGTCATGGTTAACATGTTAACTCTTACAGTTAACATGTTAACTGCAATAGTTAACATCCGCTGGCATGAGAAAGATGAGGGTAAATTTGGGATTTAAGCCAGCTAGCATGTCTAATCAAGAGCTGACATGTCTAATCATCCGCTGACATGAGCTGGAATCATGATGGAGGGGTCTGTACATAATTTTTTCAAAAAGAAGTGGCTGCAGTACATTAAAAATATATGGAGGGCTAGGGCACATTGAAAGTTAGAATTTGGCACATGACACAATTTTCCCTAAAATTTACTTCCTCCGTAAAGTGGTTAATTATAATACAATCACCTTGGTCAAAAGAGAAAAAGCAAAAGAAACCCATTTGAAACAGAAGTTACAGGACATATCCTTCTGGAGCTTTGCCGTACAAGTTATTTATTGCGTATGTCCCTCTCTGAATTTGTATGCTCTCCAATTTTCTAATGGACAAGTGGAATTAAAAAAAAACACTTTCTGAATCACTATCATTCACAATTATTAACTTACAAAAGTGGATTGTGCTTCATTAAGAATAACACCAACATGGTACCATCTTAAATGTACAATTATTTTCTCCTTAAATTAATAAATAAACGCTTTTTAAAATTGATTATCTGCTACTAGTATGCAATTAGGAGGAAATCTAACCTTCGTTAAGAAAAGTTTAAGGAAAGGAAATGTTCACTGTTCTATTTTATAACAAAAGAAGAATGAATTATTAATGGTCCGAAATTTTTCCTGTTAAAACTGCAGTTCAATAATTTGTGGTCCCGCATTAATAAGCTCCATCTATTTACTAAACATTCATTAATTTGTATTAATAGCAATATCAGAAAACCCTCTTAACTTTGGGTGATTAACAAATAACCTCCCATAACTTTTAAATATTAGAAACCCCCATTAAGTTTATTTAAGTTTATGTGTTATTATCAAACTCCCTCTTAACTTTAATATTCAATCAATAAACCTCAACAAAAAGTGTTAATCACATATTCACATGGGTGAGTAAAATTACACAGGAAGATGTTTTTACCAGTGAAAATTTGGCTTCACGCTTTTAGGGATGTTTTTTCTAATACTTTCAAAGTAATGCACGGTTATCTTGCAATCATCCATAGTTATGGGTGGTTTCTGATATTTAGCCAAAAACTTTATTAAGCTAATCCAACTAAAGTTTAGACTACTACTTGGGCTTATATTTAATACAAGCGAGCTTAATTAAATAAGAGAAACTCGAGCTTCGTATTTATTTTTCACTTTCTTTTTTTTATTAATATATGGAACTCAAGTTTCAGTTACCATCATGAAAACTGCAATTCAAACATCATCAAGCGTCCAACAAAAACTTTAAAGTCACCAAAAAAGAAAAGAAAAGGATCAAAGAGCCACGAAACTATGGAATCCAGAACAGAGAATTCCAAGTAACAAAACTTAGCTAAATTTACTGATAATTAGCACATGTTGAATAATTAGTGGAATCTAAAAAGCAGCCCCAAGAACTAACAAAAAACATTTTCTTCCCTAATTCGCTTCAAATCCCTTAAGTTGCCATACAAGAAAAAAAGTTAAAAGAACAAAACTAGACCTTTACAATCTAATAAAAGAACACAAATCAAGGGCCTTGTATAAAAAATAGTAACAATTTTGAGCCCAAAAATCCAATCAATTTTCAGTCAAAAGGGATCCACATCGCCGGCGGTAACTGTAACTAACCTCACCGCCGCTCCAGCCATGAATCCGGCACCTTGTATGAATCCACCGTGATCTCGCTCAGCCAAGAACCAGGCGAAAGCATCTGCAACCCAAAAAAGATACAATCTTTTCGAAGTCAAGACCCAAATTCCACCGAAATTTGATCCAAAACTCAAAAGAGGATCGTCGGAGACTTACATCGAGCTGCTTCTGAACGCTCCTCGGCCTCTTCTTCGGCCTCCGGCGTGCCCTGGCTCCCGTCAACGCGTAGACGTCCTCGTCGATCTCCTCCCTCGTCAATGAAACAGAAAACGCCGGCCTCTCTCTCCTCTCCGCGTCCTCCGACCTCAGCCTCACCGTCCTCACGTGGCCCCCCCTCTCCTCACGTGACACGCCCTGATCCTTCACCTGCCCTCTCCTCGTCCTCAGATTCCACGGCGATTCCTTCTCCGGAGGCCCGTCTTCGTCTCCTTCGCGTGCAACAGGGTCGGACTTCGAGAATCGGCGGCGGCGGACGCGGCTAGGAACGCGCGATCCTGGTCGCCTCTCCCATTGCGGCCGACCTTGAACGCCAGTTCGGAGCACGCGCGTGGCTAGCCCATCATTTCTTGAGCCGCCAGCCGGAACGAGAAATTGTGGAGGTTCGACCTGCGACTCCGCCCTCGCCGGCGCTGCCGCCATATGATCCGGCGGCGGTTGGAGGGTTCTCCCGGCCAGAGATCACCATGGGCTGCGGAGATTTCAGGAACTGGGTACGCTAACCGCCGGCGGTGAGCGTAGACGCAGAGGGGCGGATGTGAGGAGAAGGGGACGCGGGTGGAGAGCTTTTATATGGAGCAGTGTTGTTGGGGGCTTATACAGGGAGAGGGTTAGGGTGTGGTAGAGACCCACAGGGAGGGAGGGAGAGGGGTTGGCGCTTTTGTGTGTGGGTTTTCCCTCTCGTTGTTTTGAATGTCACCTTTTTCTGTTTCGATGTCACGTGCGACCGACTGTTTTGATGGCACGAGGGATTTGTAATCAGTATTTGTTTAGGCTACATAAAATACAAAATTATTTAGGCTAGATGTCAGAAAACCCTCCTTAAACTTTGGACAATTATCAGATAACCCCCGTAACTTTCAAAACATCAGAAAGTCCCCTTTAACTTTAAAATCTATCAAAGAACCCCCCATGAATAGCATTAATTGCAATTTTCACATGGGTAAATAAGATTATGAAAGGGGATATTTTTTCTAGTGAAAAATGTGATTCCCCATCTTAGGGGGTTTACTTACAAAATCTTAACCCTTTTTTTGCGGAGGTGGGGGGATATTTTGAAATTGATAAACGTCTAAAATTAAGGTTTTCTTTAATTTATATGCTTTAAAATTTATGATCGTGTAACGTTAACGAAGTTTTCTTATATTTAGCCATTTATTTATTTAGAATGGGTCTTTTTAAGTCTTCATATATTTTAAAGCCTTAATATAAAAAAAAAACCTTAATCTTTGGAGGATTATCAAATAAGCTCTCATAACTTTCATAGTATCAGAAAACTCTTCTTAAATTTAGGGGTCACCACAAAATCCCTATTAATTTTAAGATTTTATCCCAAAAAAACTCCTAGCAGCATTAACTGCAATTTTCACTGGAAAAACACCTTTAATGTAATTTTACGCGCCCATGTGAAAAATTATGATTAATGTTGTTAAGAGAGATTTTTCATAAAATCTTAAAGTAAAAGGGGATTTCTAATAACCCCTAAACTTTGTTGGATATTTTTGGTCAAAATTGTTTTCCAAAAATGAGTTTTCAAACTATGTATTTATTAACTACTGGTATTTTTCAGAAATTCTTAGTAGCATAGCGAAAAGTTAAAGTTTTGATATCTCAAATATCATGTGTTCGAGGCTTGCCAACGGGGCAAAGCCGAGAATTGTTTTTATTTAATTAACTCACCATAAGTTCTAGTAGGTCATAGGCTTGTGAGCCGTGGGCCAATGGGCCGGGGATCAAGGCTAATCGGACTGAGACGCTAAGTGACGCTTGTTAGGCGCACTTTGCACTTCGCATGAAGGCTTTGGGGCTAGGTGGCGCCATGCAGGCTGCCTCGCATGACTGCCTCGCAGTCTGCTTCGTAGCATACGGACGAGCCTCGCGTTCGCATGAGGGTGCGACCCTCACGTTCACAAGAGGGAATACGACCCTCGCGTTCGCGCGAGGCTGGACGCGGCCTTCGTGTTGTGCAGGATCGCAACCCTCGCGTTCAGATGTTACTGCATGCAGCAGTTACGCACAACATTTATGTTATTTGCTATTACAAATATAATTGTCATAATTGCAATTATGTTTGTAATGGTCAAATTAAATATGGGTGACCTTTGAGCTGGTCTTAGAGGCCTATATATAGTCTTGGGGAGCTCTTGGATATAAGAGATAAAAAATGATACGAAAAACACACAAGTGTTTTGTGTTGTTGTGCTGCTGCTGCAGAGTCTAAAAGCGTGAAAGTTTTAGTATGTGCTCGAAGGAACATAGCTCTGAACCAAAAGGTTTTTACAGATCGAAAAATCTTTGCCTGAACCGAAAGGTTATTGAACTGAAATGTTTTAACAGATCGAGGAGATCTCTACCTGAACCGAAAGGTTATTGAACCGAAATATTTTAACAGATTAAGAAGATATTTGTCTTGACCGAAAGGTCTTATAGATCGAGGAGATCTTAACAGTAATGAGTTGGTGCACACCAGAGTACTGTACTGTTGTTCCTGAAAGCAGTTTGGCCTTGGGATCCTTGTAACAGAGTAGGCAAAATATTGATTTAAACACAGCGTTTCATAAATGCACAACAACTAAACTTGAAAACAGTTTTAAAATATAGCACTTCAGTTCTCACTGTTTTATTACATATTTAGTCACAGATACTAACAATATTAAAGTAATATTTTGATCTACCATGGATCCTGCGATGACTCTTGGAGTGGACTGTCTCAAGTTAAAAAACTTTGACAAATCTAAATTTAACGCATGACGTTAAAAAGTAATTTTCGAGATGCAACTCCTAAAAATCTACTATATCGTTTTTGAGGAGAAATCCGACTTTGAAGAAGATTCTGAATCTGAAGCCTCTTAGGATAAAGATTGTTATTTCTGCAAGAGTTATCTCCTTAACTACTAGGCCGAACATCTGGCAGATGCTTACACCAACAAGCCCTCTGTAAAGGAAATTAAGAATGCTCTGGAGGACCAAAACAAGGATGAGGAGGAGTTGTCCAAGTATCACCTCATTTATAAGTTTTTGGACTTCAAATTCGAAGATGACACTGAGGTTTTGCCTCAAGTCAAAGAGCTTGAAAAGCTTTTGGACTTCAAATTCGAAGATGACACTGAGGTTTTGCCTCAAGTCAAAGAGCTTGAAAAGCTTGTTATGAAGCTGAAGGATGAAAAGATCAATCTTTGTCAAACCTTTATTTCTGGTGTAATTGTCAACAAGCTTTCTCTATCTTGGATGTCATTATCAATGGAATTTCGAAGAAGGAAAAGACAGGTGACTCTGTCTGATTTAAAGAGGTTCATTCGAATCGAGAACGAGATTCGGACTCGTACGAAGAATGAGCTCCTTGCTAAGCAGAAGGTGCATGCAAACATGGTGGCTGCTAACTCTGAGAAGGGTACTAGTTCTTCTTCCAAGAAGAAGAATAAGCATTTAACAAAAAGAACCAAAACCTAAAAAATCTAAATGCTCAAAAGAAAGATTTTAAGAAGAACGACAAATACTTTAACTGTGGGAAGCAATGATATTTTACCAAGGACTGCAAATCACCAAAGAAGGGAACAACACACAATATTAATCAAGTTGATAATTGTGTGGCTATGCTCTTTCAAGTGATAACTCCCAACAATATCTCTGGTTGGTGGTTAGACACATGTGCTACTTGTCATATCTGCTCCAACAGAGATTTATTCTCTTCTTATGTTGCGACCAAAGAGAACGTATCCATACCTGATCGTTCTTTGATTCCTGTTCTTGGAACTGGGACTGTGGTGTTGACTCTCTCTTTAGGAAAGACTCTCACATTGAAGGATGTAAAACATGTTCCCTTAATTGCCAAAAAATTAGTCTCTGGAAGCCTGCTATGTGACGCATGCTGGGATATGTAAATTATAGAAAACTGTCTAGCATGGAGAAGTTAGGATTACTTCCAAAATGTGGGGGTAATAAACCTGAGAAGTGTGAAGTCTGTGCGCAAGCGAAATTGACAATGAATCCCTTTCCAAGTGTCATTAGGAGCACCAATCTATTGGATCTGATTCACTCAGATAATTGTGACTTTAAGAGGTTCGTCACTCGAGGTGGCATAAAGTACTTCATCACCTTCATTGATGACCATTCTCGCTTCTACCATGTCTATCTGCTAAAATCTAAAGATAAAACTTTCAGCAACGGACTCGTGTGGAGAAGCAGCTTGGACTTCAGGTGAAAAGACTCAGGAGTGACAGAGGAGGAGAATACCGATCTAAGGAATCAAAAGCATACTTCAAGGAGCATGGAATTATTGCTAAAACTACTGCTTCATATTCTCTGCAATCTAATAGAATTACAGAAATTAAGAATTACACATTGACCGAGATGGTAAAATCGATGCTAATTACATCTGGTCTACCTACTTGCTATTGGGGAGATGCTTTGCTGATGACAAACTTGATTCTGAACAGAGTACCCTATTTCAAAACTAATAGTACTCCTCATCAGTTATGGTTGGGATATTCAGATTCTTTGGATAGTCTCAAAGTGTAGGGGTGTCTCGCCTATGTTCGAGTTTTAGATATCAGAAGACCTAAGCTCGGACCAAAGGCTAACAAATGTATGTTTCTTGGCTTTGCTGAAGACATCGATGCTTATAGGTTCTTAGACCTTGGAACCAACTCCATCATTAAAGCTCCATATGTAGAATTCTTTGAGGATAAATTTATCAAAGATAAATGTTTATTACTCAAAGATATAGAAGAGAATGCTAGTACGCCAGATGCACCAAAGGAGACAGTTTTGCGAGAAACTAAAAGTGTCAATGATGAAAAAGTTATCGAACCATCTTCTAAGCGTGTCAGGAGACATAAAGATTTTGGAGATGACTTCATCACCTATAATGTGGAAGGAGATCCGTAGACTTTTTAAGAAGCAATACAGTCAACAGACGTTCTTCTGTAGAAAGAAGTTATAGATGATGAGATGGATTCATTGATCCAAAATCATACTTGAGAGCTGGTGGATGTACCTGAAGGTACAAGGTCTATCAGTTTTAAGTGGATCTTCAAGGAGAAGTTTTATCCTGATGATACTATTGTGAAGTACAAAGCAAGACTGGTGGCGAAATGATTCTCTCAGAAAGAAGGAATAGATATCTTTGATATTTATGCACTAGTTTATAGGATCACTACTATCAAAGTGCTTATCGTATGGACAGTGATAAAAAGGTTTGTTATACATCAGATGGATGTGAAGACTATCTTTCTCAATGGAGATCTTACAGAAGAGATCTATATGAAAAAACTAGAAGGACTTGATGCTCTAGCTGGTAAAGTTTGTAAACTTGGTAAGTCTTTATATGGACTTAAGCAGGCATCGAAACTCTGGCATGAGAAGTTCGATGGGGTTGTTCGCAACAATCAGTATCAAGTCAGTGAATCTGACAAGTGTCTATA